AGAGAAAGCATTCTTATGTTTCTCAATTTTACATATATAACGGGGACATCCCTCTATGTCAAAATGGGGGGAGGGGACACACCCAGAATAAGGGCCATCACCTAGCTTAGCAACTCCTTGCCTTGTCTTATCACAATTAATTGCACATTTGCATCTAATTAACAGATCTAATCAATCTTGCACGTAATGACCTAATGTCATGTTCTTATTTCATATTTTTACCCTTGTGCATAAGTTATAGTAATATGTCAACCAGATTTCCCCCCTTTAAGCAAGTCACATTTCAAACATGGTTCAAAGGTAAAACTGCAAAGCTAGACTCTCCGAAGGGAAAAATCAAGAAACTGAAAAAAAAATCTGGACGTATAATACTGGTATATAATTCCATACCTGGAAATGGGAGCTATTGAGGCTTCTTCCAATTTGTTTGAAAAGAGGAACCATACAACGATGAAACTCAGCAGGCTGTGTAGCTTCCAGAACTTCTTCAAGCTCACCAATAAAGAGAACCTCCTTCCCGCAATTAGTAACCGGCCAGTACTTAAGCAGACCCCTAATCACCACATCAGCCAATCTATAATCTTTCTCTACATACTGCACAGTGCAGTATGCCAACTGGTGATGATACTCAGACATGCATTTAGCCTTGTGAAGTGGAACTAGAGCTCGGACGAGGAATAGCTTGTGCTCTTCTTTCATTGGCACTGCAAACCCATTTATTATACTCCCGAGAATCTCCAACAACTCACCAATCCCATTATGCCTCTCCGTTTCAAAGATAAACTTGTAGAAAATGTTGTTGATTGCCTTCCTTATAAATGGGCGATGAACCATAAACTTGCCGTATATACGGTGAAGAATGGTCTTCAAATAATCCCGTTCCCTTGCATCTTCTGAATCAAACAAGTCAATCAGCTTGAGAAGAAACGTGTGGTCGAGATATCGCTTGGCAATCTTGGTGTCAATGTCGGTGGACAACACGTATCTAAGGAGAAGTTCGTACACGAGTTGCAAATGAGGCCATGACGGTTCTAAGAACATGTCATCCTCCTCGGGGTCGCCGCCCCCACCCTCGCCCCCAGCACCATGGTGCGGTGCAGGGGGGAAACAGCGAAAAATATTAGCCGATATCATCCAAACCAGATCCTCCTGCATCAGTTCATTCATCTTGATAGATCCTGTATGGAGTAAATCAATGAGCTCGGATAGGGTTTGGCGCTTGATCTCCTTTTCACGGGCGGATTTCATGGTGTCCGTGAAGTTGAATTGCAAGCAGCAGATTTGAAGCTTGCGGATGAAGAGGGAGTGGCGCTGGGAGGGTGGGACCTCCTTCAACATCGGCAGAATTTCAGCGCTAGGGTTGGGAGGCGCGTTGGCCAAACGCACCACGAGCTGAGACGGCTGGTCCGCGGATCCCGAGGCGGCCGCCGTCGAATCCGCGGCAATTCGCGAAGCATGATTGCAAATCACATCGGGAGATGCGCCGGAGGTAGGTATTGGAATCTCGGCAGCCTCCGATTTGGAAGAACTCTTCTTCCCTCTCTTGATGATCCTGAACATGATTTATCGATTCATTCAGGGAAATGGTGGAATTACCCCCACTCTCTGCAACGATCCCTCATAACAAATTCATATTCCTAACCATAAAGATGAAAAAAATCGTTCAATCATAGAAATAACAATCTATTGGAACGCAGGTTTGAATCAAAAGCACAATTCGTCAAGAGAATCTAAATTCTGAGTATCATCAACAGCTATACGAAGAAGATATGATAATAAATGAAGGAATAAGTGCCAGATAATTGAAATCAAACATGAAAAGGGGAATGGAATAAATGAGGATTAAAATATGAAGAAGAAGAAAAAAAGTTGTCAGAAGATAAAACTGAAAAAAAAAGGGATAACGAAGAAAGATGAAGAAGAAAAAGGGGAGAGAGATACCTGGTGTGGTGTGGTGTGGTGAAAGTGAGATCCGATAAGGGAGGAACGGAGCGGAGTGGAGAAGAAGAAGCAGCAAGCAGCCACCAGCCGGCAGCTACATGTGTGTCTTTTCTAGCTAGCTCATATTTCTCTTTATACGTTTTTTCTTTTTTTAAACTAAATTTTTAAACTATAAAGTTATTTGTACCCCAAGAATTTGTACCTCATTTTATACATCGTAGGTATGCACCAACATTTTGTGTTGGTGCAATGCTAATTTTTGTTAACGCACCAAAACTTTATGTCAGTGTAAATTTTTGTTAACGCATCAACACTTTGCGAGTTTGCGTCAATGTAAATTTTTGTTAACGCGTCAACACTTTGTGTCAGTGTAAATCATCAAAATATTAGTGCATACCTTTAGTATACAAATGGGATACAAATTTTGGAATACATGTAGCATGCTCCATTTCTAAAATGACACTCAATAACCTGAGTCCGTATATGTTAGAGCTGGTTGTATCAGAAGTAAAGTACACCTGGATAGTTCTCATTTTGGAGTAAAAGTAGTGCTTATTTTTTGCACAAAACATAATGTCCATTGCTTATGTTAACGCACCAACACTTTGTGTCAGCTCTTATTTTTTGCACCAGAGTCCGTATATGGTAGAGCTGGTTGTATTAATGTAATGCTCATTCTGAAACATGTAATGTTCATTTTCATACATTTGTTTATTACAATTATAATATTTGTTTACGAATAACATAGTATTTATTCTGAAACAACGTAGTGTTCATTCTCTCAAATTAAGTAGTGTTCATTTTCAAACAATGTAACATTCATACCAACCTAATAAGTAGGTGAAGCCTTAATGAAAGCACGGCAGCATTCTTTCTTCTGCGTAGAAGACTCGACCCAGAGCAGCGTCGACTACATCTAGAGTTTTCTCATCCGTAGACACAGTGTTCATTTTCAAACAAATTTTGAATCTAAACTAAATAAAATTTGTAATGTATATTAGTATAAATGTAACTATATTAGATTGATCATTTAAAAACTTTCAAAAATTTATTTCTTTATATTTATATAAAATACAAATTTAAAATAATGACAGATTAAAAATATAAATATGACACAATCCTTGGAGTAATGATGTAAATTAATGAATATGGAAGAATTTATTTGAAATTGTGAATTCTTTATAATATTTGTATAATTTCTCCAATTATATATTTAAAATCACCAAGAATATTTTTTTATCAAATAATCAATAAAAACACACGAGTAAACAAAAATTATCAGAAGGCTTAAATAGTGAAAGTGCAAATCATTTTGAGACGAAGGGAGTATCTATTATTTCTAGCCATCCATTATTGGGCACATGGTACTGATACCCATTTCAGAGGAATCGGAAGCATTACCTTGTATGGGCAGTTCCAATTCCCCGACTCCAAATAATTTTTTAAAAACTATTTTTGGTATAAAAAAATTATATAATTGGCTTCAAACTCTTTTTACTTTGTGGTAAATATTGTGAATCATCTTTAACAAAATAAAAAATACTAAAAGAATATAAAAAACTAAGCCAATTCTGGTGCCAAAAAATTGAGAATCGAAACTGGACTCTTTATCTAGTGGTTCAGGGAAATTCCGGTATCTAAGTGGTTTCAGCACTGGTCACGGTTCCAGTTTAGAACCGTGTCCATGAGCTTGGAGAAAGAACTGCAAAAAGAAGGGAAAAGCTAGAGGGCCAAATGACATGAATATTTCTATTTTCCAGAATTACATTATTTACGCATTACACTTTATTATTATAAATATTTTATTTTTGAGAATATAATTTGTCGGTCTAATTTAGGATTTTTTGAAAACAGATCTAGTTTAGGACAAAACAATAAAAATACTTTATCTTTTCTAAAATTTACCTATTTTGTGTGTTACGGAGACCCCAAGAAATGCACACCAAGGAAATTTCGAACACACAAACACTAAATGTTTGTATTGAGTGTATGTGTCTCTCAACGCCTTGATTGAGGTGCACTTGGTATGCATTTCCTGGAGTACCCCAAATATTTTCCTTAAAAAGAATAGAAAAAATGTTAACTGCATAAAATTTTTCCTTAACGCTATGTTTGGTTCATTTTCAGATTTTCCTCACCAAATGAGAGGAACTTTGTTTTCTCTACATTTCAATTTCTCAATTTCTATTCCACTTTTATTTTACTCCGAGAAAAATTATTTTCTTTTCTTTGTCAATTTTCTCGAACCAAACATAGAGCATCTCAATAAGAAATTTAAGACAGGAACACAATCCAAAGAGAAATGCTACTTACGCACACATCAAATTTTGGATTTTAGTACTCCACATGCATATAGTGTATTTTACACATTATTTGTAAACATACAAAACATGTTTAGTTCAAAATTTTGAATATGGTGTATAAATGTATTGATCTTCCAAATCATATTACAAAAACGAAAAAACTCGCACTTTCTACAAGTGTAAAAGACCAAGGCAATAATTAGCGGGGAAAACAAAAACTAAAATAAATACATATTCTATATACCAGGCAATTTTGTATGGTATATATTTCAACTGCAACACAAAATACAAGACAATTACCATTTAAAGAAATCTTTTTGGATGGGAGTAAACAAATATAAAAAAATATAAAATATCTGTGTTTTAAGACAAATAAAAGTCTAATAACAGTGTTATGTAAGAGTACACATTAATAGTGTGATGGAAAGATGATGACATTGTAACATGGAAGTGTGATCAGTCAACCCTCACGGATACGCAGTGGCGACGGATGACAGTGCGCAGTGATAGTGTGATAGTTTCAATGTGACAATATGGTGAGTGTATCAGTGTAACAATGACAATGCAAACTTTTATTTTAGTCTTAAAAGACTTAAGACTCCTATTCTAATACTTTCAAAGTTTTTTACTCTTATCTAGGGAGTTCTCTCCCTAACATTTAACAACACAAAAAATACAGCTTCATGCATGTACAAAATTATACAAAATTATACTATTACTCATGCAAGTACTGTCATTATACAAAATTATTAATATTATAATTCAGGGTTAAACCATTGGTCTGATTCTGGTAGTAAAATGTTACTGATTCCAATACAAAAAAATAAAAAGTAGAGTACTGAAATAGAGACAGGGCTTCTGGTGAGGTGATAAATGCACAAAGCCTTCCCTTAAAATATAGTCACTTTGAAGTCCACTTCACAAGAACTTAATTTTTTCAGGCTGGGGTGTTAGGGGGGGGGGGGTAATAATTAATACGTAGTAAAAAAAGTTTTACCTCCATTCACCATCCGCCCTTTCCGGCAGAAGAAGCGGCTCCATTCCCTTGCCCGCCACCCCAAGAGGTAGAAGATGAGGCGGCCTTGCCCCATGAATCACCAGCAGCCCCTCCACTGTCTTCTTTGGGCTTTGAAGGTTCGGGTGCGTTGCCGCCCCAAGAGGTGGATGATGTCTTACTGGTGGAACCGCCTGCATCACCAGCACCCCAACCTCCCTTATTATCGCCAGCAGCTTTCCAGCCGCCGCCAGCATCATTCCCAGTATTGCAGCTGCTTGGCTTGTTCACATCACCGCCAGCGCCCCAACCTTCCTTATTATCACTAACAGTGTTCCAGCTGCCGCCAGCATCATTCCCAGTACTGCAGCTGCTTGGCTTATTCCCACCAACGCCAGCACCCCAACCTCCCTTATTATCACCAGCAGCTTTCCAGCCGCCACCAGATTCATTTCCGGTATTGCAGCTGCTTGGCTTGTTCCCATCACCGCCAGTGCCCCAACCTCCCTTATTATCACTAGAAGCTTTCCAGCCGCCACCAGCATCATTATCGGTATTCCAGCTGCTCGGCTTATTCCCATCACCGCCAGCACTCGAACCTGCCTTGTTATCACCAGCAGCTTTCCAGCCACCGCCAGCATCATTACCAGAATTCCAGCTGCTTGGCTTGTTCCCATCACCACCAGCGCCCCAACCTCCCTTATTATCACTAGAAGCTTTCCAGCCGCCACCAGCATCATTCCCAGTATTCCAGCTGCTTGGCTTGTTCCCATCACCACCAGCACTCCAACCTCCCTTATTATCACCACCAGCTTTCCAGCTGCCGCCGCCACCTCCGGAATCATTTCCAGTACTCCAGCTGCTAGGCCTATTGCCATCACTGCCAAAATCATTTCTACTATTGTTATTCCAATCGCTGCTTTGATCTCTTCTTCCACGCCCTCTGCCACCAAAGCCATCGCCTCTCCCACGAAACCCCCCACCATCTCTATCAAAACCACCACCTCTGCCTTGATAGCCTCTTCCCCTATCATAGCCACCTCGTCCTCGAAATCCTCCACCCCTATCTGACCCACCTCCACGGCCACCTCTCCATCCACCTCTTCCTCCCCTCTCGGTGGAATTTTCATCCTGCAGTTCGTTCCCCCCACCAAAGCTACTGCCTCCCGAGTTCCAGTTACCTTTGCCGCTCCAGGCATTAGATGTGCTTTCACTCTTCCACCCAGAAGACTGATTTTCACTACTTCCCCAACCAACTGATGCCCCCTCATTGGAGCTTTTATTGTTCCAACCTGATGATGTGTTCGTTGTCTCAGTCCCACTTTCTTTACCTGTGTTCCACCCACCAACTCCACTGGTATCTTTATTTCCTTCATCGTCAGATGGTTTTCTGTTCCAGCTGGATGACTGGTTTTCACCAGCAGAAGGTTTAGAGGCATTCCAGTTTCCTCCACTCTGCCAATCAGACTGTTTATTGTTTCTTTCAGGGTTTTCTGATTGATGATCACTTTTCCAGCTTGAGTTCGATGCAGCTTTGTTGCTGGTCCATTTATCACCACTTTCACCTCTGGCATCTTGATTACTACCCCAACTAGCATTTGTTGTTCCGTCATTTGATTTTGCCTTGCCCCAAGAACTTTCCTGAGAACTCTTCCAGCTAGATTGCCCAGCAGATGCATTAGAATTTCCCCAATCATCCTTTTTGCTTCCATCTGTTGTCGTCTTTCCCCAAGAACTTTCCTGAGAACTTCTCCAACTACTAGACTGTTGCCCCCCAGCACCACCAAATCCTGATCCATAAGTATCATCGCCCTCCTTTCCCCAGCTACTTGACTCGCCACCTCGATCAAAAGACCTTCCTCTACCTCCTCTACCGAAGCTGTCTCTTCCTCGGCCCCTTCCTCTTCTCCCACCAGAGCCACGGCCACCATCAAAAGTTCCCCCACCACCCCAGCTTCCTTGTTGGTCTGATCCATCACCACCCGAAGAATGATCGGCTCG